AAGTGGGGAATGACCGTCAACTTGCACAAATCAAATGTTGTTGTTTTAAGAGGAGGAAAAGTATAAGCTAAAGAAGTGTGGTATTATAGAGGACACTTTTTAGAGACTGTTGATACTTATAGATATCTATGATTTGTCTTCACTTGTAGCTTTAGCCGCAGTAAATCTGTTGCAGATCTAACCCTACGTGCCTAAAAGGGAGTTAAAAGTTTGAGTTAATTACTACTACTAGAAATATATCTATTACTGCACCCAGTGTGTTCTTTAAGTTATTTGATTTTCAGATCAGTCCGATTCTTTTGAAATTTGGGGAATCAATAGACTTGAGAGTATAGAGTAAATCCACCTTCTGGCGTGTAAAATAATCTTAACATAGGACAAAAATACCTATGGCTATAGTTTATGGTGAATTTATGACCGTTATCCAATGTATATCAACTCACTTGTTCGTGGTGTTTGATACTGGTGTAAAATATAATCAATGCATGAGGACCGCTTCCCCACAAAAAACGTACAACAAGCGTAGACTTCAAATATTAGATATCTAATATTTACTCATGGTTTTGGTCTTGTTTGGCTGTCACAAACAGTTGGAGAAATTTTTTAATAAGTATGTTGAAGGCTAGTGCTATTGACATGTTTCATAAAAATTGGATATCTACTACTAATTACAGTTCTCGATGTAACCTTTAAAGAGAATACAAAAGTGTGTTAGAACCAGAAAAGTGTCTTTATGCAGTTAGCGAATTAAAGCTTCGACATATTTTAGTGGAGTTTAGAGGAGGACTATTACGTTTGAAAAATATTGAAGGTAGGTGGCAAAAAATAAACGATATATGCACGAGAAACTGTCATTCATGTGATAGAGGTATAGATGACGAATTTCATTTTCTACTTGTATGTGTTACTTTCGATGCTTTTAGAAGAAATATCGCCCAAAGACATGTATAACTAATGTAAATATGCATACATTTAAAACGACTATTGCCCAAAACGATATAGAACAAATAAAATCACTTTGCATATTTATTTATGATGCGTATGAAAGAAGAAGGTATTTGTTAAACAATGTTTAAATTATGTATTTTGCAACTACAACATTTGTAAACTGTTGATTGTATTTGGATCTATGACCTTCATACTGAATAATTAATTGATTGATATGATAAAACTACAGACAATTTCTTGACTTTTATCTGGGTATGGAGCCATTTATGGTATCCATTTGTCATGGTATATAGAAAGGATGGCATCAAGCTGTCACTGGCCCTTTGGTTTCGCATAACACGTTCACATTTCTATTCATGTGATATCCACGCAGATCTGGGAGGCCTATATTCACCTCAACCACTGGTGGCAGCCCAGGCTATTTTGTCTCAGTATCTCTTCCACTGACCACCAACCTTGCGGGGTAAAGTGGCCCTTTGATTATATGTAGACCAAGGTGGGCAGATCATAGGTTAAAGGGACATCTGCGGTTGGAACTACCGCACTCTGAGTGGGCGGAGCTTATACGAATGATCTGATAGGTCAATATGACGTCATGGTAAAACACAAATTTCATTTGTTAATGAGTAAACGGGTGACGCCAGGTGAAAAACCACCAAGGCCATTTGACAACAAGGACGTAACTTTAAATGGAAATAAATATTCATCAAACGATTCAACAACGCACAGGTCCTGAGTTTCAAAACCTACCTCTCATGTCGTCTTCACATCTTCATAAAATGATACTGTGAAATGTCCACGATTTATCAACCAAAACACAAATGATAGTTCTGCCCTATTCTCTGGACGAGAACGAATCTGTTTCACTCAGATTCGGGGGACATGGGTGGCCCAGTCTCCGCGATTCGCTGTGCAGAGTTGCGTCTCTTGGGCACGCCAGAAACCTATGATTGTGGGTTCGAATCCCGGTTCTCCCGATTAAGTTTCTAGGTTTGTTAAGACCATACTCTTGCTCGCGGGTTTCACCGAAACGTCTGAGACCTGCATCACTTCGGGCTTTCCTCCCACATTAAGCTGACACGCCGTGATATTACTGGAATACTGTTAAAAGCGGCGTAAAACCCAACTCACTCACTCACTCTGATGCATGTTTTCTCCATCCATGACGAGCAGGTGTCATGTCAATGTCTCAACAATCTCCCTGGTCAGTTGATTTCAACAATGTAATACACACAGCCTCATTCACGGCGTCGTCACAAGATTAATTCCAAATACCAACCCACGTGATCAGGGTTAATGAATTAATTTGCATTTTTAGAAAAGAAATGGTTTCATGAAATTTTTTATTTATAAAAGATCCTGTACATGGTACTTTTGGATTGCACTGCAGGTTTCTTATATTACTTTCTAAAACCTTTTGTTTTCCCCCTTTCTGAACACGCGATCTCCCAGCAACCACGCCCCATGAGCGGATTGCTGCCTACAACTGTCAAAAACTTTTTTGTGTGACGTTTTATTTGACGGAGAGTTGTTCGAGATGATCAGGGAGCCTTTGGTCATTTTCAGTGTCACAGCGAGATTTCATTGTGTAACCAGATGAAGCCGAATATGTATGTTCACACTTCTTTTGTCAACCATGCGTGACACAGCACAGGCAATCGCCGCTAGGGAATGGTGTGGCAACCATGTTGCAGAAATTCGTCGATTCGAACACAGTGCTTCTGGACTGAGCTACATAGAAGAAGTGTTTGGATCGTAGATAGTCGGACTTGAAGAAACGGATATTAAAAGTTGCAGCAGATGAAGGATTGGTGTGGACAAAACGGGAAATGGATCCCAGATTGAATTTTAAAACTTGTGCACGAAGTGTATCCAAATCCCCCGAACAAAAACTACATGGGACAAGTGTGGATCTAATGATCAAACTCAGTTTTGTGTGTGAAAATTCTGTTAAAGGAAAAGGAAATCCATAATTAAAGTTGTCCTCGAATATGTGTATTGGGAGTTTTCATTTATCGTAAGTACAATATTATCTTGATACGTCTAATGTAGATCAAAACATCTAGTATATTCCGTTACTTATTTACCAGTTGCTTATGTGCATTGTTATGTTGATACACGTGACATATTCATATGTTGCAGTCAAACAGAAATATTGGCGCAAATTCTGGTGCTTCAAATAAGGTCCCTTCCTGATGGCCCTGTCACACTACAACGTATAGCAGTAACGTACGGCGACATATGAGAATTTTTACCAAAACGCTGGCAACGCTGAAACACGCTATGGATAAGTTAGATGTAAGTTTTTTACATTGAAAGCACGCTGGTATACGTTGTAGTACGCCGAGGCTTAAAAACGTTTTTGTGCATGCACAACATTTTCGGCGAATGGGAACGTATGAACATTTTACATATCTAGACTGCTCTCGCTTTTCGTTGTAATTTGATAAATGGGTGTACACTACTAATTATACTACCGCTGGGCCTGTTTTAGGCACCTTTCCCCTACGCTGAGCGCGCTGGTCATACGTTACTCATACGCTGACCATACGCTGGCCATACGCTGGCCATACGTTGAACACGCCAGACACACGCTGGCAATACGCTTTAATACGCTGTCATAAGTTATGTATAAGTCAGTGATACGCTACTAATACGTTAGACATGCGTTACATATACGTTATATAACTCGTTATGTATACGCTGTGGATACGCCAAAATCATGGTTTTTCGATGAAAGCTCGACGTTTGACAGCGTACTAACTGTATCTTACTAGGTGCAAGTTACTCCAAAACGTTGTAGTGTGTCAGGGCAATGAGCACTAGTTGAAAAATCTGTATAATAATTTAAGTTTTATAAACATAATCTGATTATTGTGATGTATAGATCTAACTGTTGAATGCAAATGACCAAAACTAAACAAATATCTGTAATTTTCGGATTGAACTGAAAGAATCTTGTCAATTTCGTATTTATGTATCGTTACTGTTACATCAACCGAAACTGATTTTCTGTGCAATACACTTTGACCACAAATGCATTGAATGTGTCACGTGTACACATGACAATGTGCTTTGCTATATATAGCGCAACCGTAAATAAGCTCCGTCCCCTGTGATTAATGCAGACGCCAAACACGATCGATTCGATTTTTTATTATAAAACTACAGAAAATGTATTGACTTATATCTAGATATGGAGCCATTTGTGGTATCCAGGGTTTGTCATTCAAGTTGATACGTACAGTTGTTTGCGTACAGTTTTCAAAAAGCTTCTCCCGGCACTCGATTGTGTTTACATTGTCAGTCACTGTTCGAAACTGAAACACCCCCACATTGCGGGCTATTTATAGACAGGGTGGGGTTTTAACAGCTGGTCATTATAAAATCTGGAAGTGATTAACGGTTCTTCAGTATTGACGTCAGTAAGGTATGTCGTCAAAGCTGATTTCGTCGTCAAAGAAGTGACGTCATAGAAGGAAATGACGTTAAACCCGGAACCAGTAAAGGATCACAATCAACCGATATTGACTTCATCAAGGGAGAATACGACGTCAACTTAGCCGGAAATGACATCAATCTACACCGGAAGTGACGCCACAGAAAGACCAATATTACTGTACAATATTATGATTTTGCTTTCTTCATGTACTGTATTTCACTGCTGTCAGCTATATGGAATTACCAGACGCCAGATCCTGGTTCTCTCTTGTGTATTCTGGCTCGAATGTAATAGTGGTTATGTATTAAAATGAATTATCAAACAATATTTATCAGAATACTACCTCTTTTACATCAGTAGTAGTCCCTTCCACCTCCCCAGCATATAGGCATCAAGGATGTTTGGTTATTGGAAAGAAGTGACGTTTCCACGCCTTTTGCATGTGCAGATGCTGTTGACTGCCTTAAGACTAATAAAACCCTGACTGTGAAGAGGAGAGTCTGTGGCAAATCTTAAAGTTTCGTAGTGTAAGATCAGCCAAAAGGCAGGCTTTATGGCCATGAGGTTATAGAGGTAGTCTTCTTAGAATTATCCACAATGATAACTATTGTTGGATTTCACCACATCAAGCGTTTATTTCATGTTCATATACAGACACCACTAAAATATATATTATTTTGTATGAGACGACGTTCAGGGGGTAAATAATTCGATTTAATTGCATTAATAGAGATACGGTATTTCCACGTCTTGTTTTTGGATTAACTCGACCCTTGTCTCCGGTTTAGTGAAATCGTTGGTCTAGTACGTGGTGAAATTGAAGGTAATTACGGACCAATCTTTTGGTACGTACATACTGACACCTGCAATATAGAAACACCATGGTCAGTTTACATGTGGATCAATCCTTCTCCATGCAATATTTGTAGCACATACATACATACATACATACATACATACATACATACATACATACATACATACATACATACATACTTGCGTGTATGCTTACGTTTTATACGTACATATATACATGCATAACGCACGTGCACACGCACATACCTACTTACATACTAGCATACTTACCTAGAGGTGTAAGTTCCCCTTTGTCCAGGATCTGCCAGTAGGTCTTGTCATCGGTGCTTCCAGCCACTTTATTCATGCTTAGTATAAAATATCCCGTCACGTTTGGTGTCGCAAAATACTCAGCTGTGAAACTGAACAACAAGAGTGATTACATTGTGGAACCATTGCATTTCACTTTCATCGATATATAGTGTGTTTTGACTATGGTATGGTATTTTCAATGCGTTTGCCACACAAACTGAACATGAAATAGATCACGAAACACTGGCACAAACTATTTAGACTTCAGATAATATGGGAATAACTTATAAAGCGTTTTTACAAAGGAGTCTCACTAAAGAGGTGTACCAGTACAGAGAAGGCTGACTCTCACAGAAGGATTGCATCTGGAGATGAAGATGTTGTTTGACAGAGAAGGTATTGTCTTAGGGAAAGGCGGTGTCTGACAGAGGTGCTATATGACAGAACGCTGTTGTCTGAGGAAGAAGGTGGTGTCTGGCAGAGAAGGTTGTGTTTGACAGATAAGGTGTTGTCTGATGACGGAGGTTTTGTCTGAGGGAGAAGGTGTTGTTTCAATAGGAAGGTGGTGCCTTACAGAGATAATGGTGTATCACAAAGAAAGTGTTTTCTGAGAGACTTCTAAGATATGTCTGACTGAATCTGAATAGAATCTGGAAAAGAAACATGCGTCTTACATAGAAAATGTTGTTTGAGGGAGAAGGTTGGTTGGTTGGTTTGTTGTTTAACGCCGCACTCACCAATATTTCAGCTATATGACGGTGGTCTGTAAATAATCGAGTCTGGACCCGACAATTCAGTGATTAATATCACGAGCATCGATTCACGCAATTTGGACCGATGACATGCATCAACCAAGTCAGCGAGCCTGAACACCCGATCCCATTAGTCGCCTTTTACGACAAGCATAGGTTGCTGAAGACCTAGTCTACAACGGAATCTTCACGGGGTCGAGGGAGAAGGAGGTGCCAGACAAATAAAGTGTTGTTCAGTGTGCAGCTGGGAAAGAGTTTGTGACTGATGAGGAGGGAGCGAGTATGGTTTTACGCCGCTTTTAGTAATAGTCCAGCAATATCACGGCGGGGGACACCAGAAATGGGCTTAACACATTGTACCCATGTCGGGAATCGAACCCGGGTCTTCTGCGTGACGAGCGAACGCTTTAATCACTAGGCTACCCGACCGACTGATGAGGATGTAGCTGAGAAAGAAAATTGTATATCAACGGAAAAAAACTATGATTAATATAAAGTTTAATAAAACCTAAACGTATTTTGAAATTAAACAATGCATCTTTCAATGCATGTCCACGAAGACATATCTTTGACTATAAGGTCGTAATTCACATTTTGCCCGTGCATGTTAATGCACGTCGCACAATTTCGATGCTTGCGTCTTTGCTGGGGGCATGATACGTGTTTTTGAAACAACATACGAGTACAATGATTGTTTAGCTATCGGATGCTCATAAAACACTTTTGTTTAACCGTGAATAACGATTATGCAATGCCACGGCTTGCTGAAAATCAACGTCTACGCGCCGTCGGTATGCTGCAAACAGGAATATGCAAAAGGAAGTTGCCAGACATTTTATTGTTCATCGGAACACCATATTATCTTTTTTATCTGGAGCCGGGAAAAACACATGACTCGCCACGCACCGGTCGTCCATGTGTGACATCGCGTCAACAAGACAACATATACGGTTGGCGCATCTCCGGAATCGATATCAAATTGCCACAGTAACAGATCGGACAATTTCCGGGTTGAGACCAATTAGTGGCAGAACCGGTTGAGGGAGCAGAACTTCTAGCCCTCGTCACCCTTAGGCACGCCTAACTTGATGTAGACAGCATCTGAGGTTGAGAAGACAAGACTTGGACTGGGACAGCGTACTGTTCACAGATGAGTCCATACTTCATCTGGACAGCTCTCGTGGTCGTCAAAGGGTCTACAGGCGTCCAGGAAAACGTTTTCGCGATGCTTGCGTTACTCAACGTCGTTAGTTTGGCAGTGCAAGGGATGGTATGTGGTAGCATCACTCATGGGAGAACACAATCCATCATTGTTGGCAATTTGAATGGCGTACACAACTGGGACGACATCGTTCGAGACATGTTCTACTCTTTGTGCAAATGTAGCGACGCAACAGCAGGATAATGCCCGTCCACATGTTTCATGTGTTGTAACAGACTTTGTGAGGCAGCAGAATATTGCTGTACTGCCATGGACGACTGATTCTTCAGACCGCTCCCCCACAGAACATGTCTGGCTTGACATCAAACGACGCCTACAACAGGACCAAAGCGGTAACGCTAACTCAGTTTGGCCAATATTTGGTTGGCATTTGGAACAACATACCCCAGGGTTTTTTCAATCATCTGCCGTCTTCAATGAACCGCCGCTGCCTCGTTTGTATTAACGGACATGGTAGCCACACCCGACATTTACGTTGAAGTGCGTTAGGCAGTAATCTTACCGGAAATGCTGGTCGATGGCGACGGCCTCCTGGAGGAAGTAGAGGAGCTCTCTCTGAGGCATCTCAAGCACGACACAGGACTTGAACGTGTGCGGCTTGAGGCGGTTCTCCACCACCAAAGTAACGGTGATATTAGGACCGCACATGCAACAAGAACTGAAGGATAACGATTAAATAGTTTAATCATGTATCACTTTTGTTTTAAGTGGCGGAGTACTAAAATTATCCAGTAAACTACCGTCACCGATTTAACTACTTTAAATCTGCATTGAAGCGTCTCTTGCTTTGCTTTTTTTTAAGATTAGTTTTATTCATTGAGAAAATAATAGATATCTTACTTTTCTGTAGCGCCACTTGTATAATGTGATCAACTTTCTAAATTAACTGTACTATTTGACAGGAAGAGATAAATCTTACTTAAATTCATTAAGTATGTGCCTCTATGTACACAATATAATGTGCTTGAATATGTTAAAATGAAAATGTCTGATCTAATTAAATAACGCCTGTCCGATCGGTTCACATAGTACATAGGCAAATCGCTAATGCTGGGGTGCTTGATGAGATAAAACAGGTTTTCAATCATTGCAACAAGGCTTGCAATGCTTTCTTTGGAAGGAGTCAAACAATTTCTTTTCTACAGCACATTTGTTTCAGGAAGCATGTCAAACAGACAAGTCAATTCTTTTGTTCAATCTCAGGTCAAATCACACTCACCCTCTATAAAATACTAAATTGTCAGTCACTTCAATGTCGACTTAGTGAAAAAATTGTGTACTTACTCCTGGCAAGTCAGAGCCATTGCCACGCAGGCCAGCAGACCTACACACGAGAGTGTATTCATAGTCCTTGTACGTAACCTGGAAGGAACAAAATATCACTGCACGAAATAGTGCATTGCAATGTGTGCCCTCATGTTTGGAATAACGTTTGAAATCTGTGCTCTTTAGAAAACGATATTGGCATTTGCAACTATATGCCTTTATATGCCTTATGTTAGCAATGTATGCTCATAGAATGAATTATTTTCATATATTCCCAATGGTGCTTAAACGTTACGAGGTGAATAATTTTTATGTGATCAGTTTTATATAGGTTTGAAATAAATGAAAATAAAAAAGGCAATGCCTCAACTGTTTCCATAAGGTTTGAAAGTGATGCAAGTGACAAAAATATTTACATACTCCAAACGTGACGATGTGGTTGTACAGTATCATACAATATCAATATACCCGAGTGCTGCCATGATGTGGAGAGAGCGTAGTTGAGATTCTTGAGGCTATTGAGGATTTTGTTCGAGCAGCTACTTGGATTCCTTTGCCCTGAATCTAATGCATGAGCTTATTCATGTTTGTTTATTATTTAGCGCCGTACTTAGCAATGTTCCCGCGATATGTCGGCGGTCTGTAAACAATCGAGGCTGGAAGAGACAATCCAGTGATTGGCATCACATCCGTCTATCCACGCAATTGGGATACAATTACATGTATCAACCAAGTCGGCGATCCTGGTCACCCGATCCCGTTTGTCTCCTCTTACGACAAGCATGGTTTGCTGAAGACAGGGTGTAACCCTGGTCGCCTTTTAATGACACAGACTGGGAGGGTCTGAACCAAGCAGGGTAATGTGTATTTTGTAGTAAATGACAATGTCTGGCAAATGATTCTCATGTTACAAACAACAATGTGATTATCGACTTTCCTTGTACTGTGATAAACTTTGCTCAGTTTATTTTGTACCTCAAAGGTAGTCAAGCTGCCACCTGCTTCAGTGCTACAAGTCATTTTCTTTTGGAACATGCGGAAGATGTACAGCTACATGTATGTACCAACAGCAGGAATCTGAGCTTTCATTTCATTAAACTTTAACGAATTGGACATCTCCAATGATGTGCCTTGTCCATATGGAGATCCATCAAATTTGTTAGTTCGTTTGTTACTAGTACTTATATAACAGTAAGAGATATATGTGATAAAATAAGACTATATATATAATACATACATTTACCTTGCCTAAATTTGAAAATTCAACGACGGCTGGCGTCTGGGTTGAAGGAATGTGCAAGTGTGGTTTGTAAATAGTCGATTCTACGATTCCGACTATATCATGAGTATGTGTTTATGAATCCCTATCAAATAGTGATGAAACCACTTGTTTGCGAAAAGGTGAGTGTATCCACTGGGTATTATAGATTGAGAGCAATACGATTGCATACACAGTAAATTCGATTTCGAGATAAGCAGTCAAATTTATATGTATTTATAGAGTGAGCTGGTCGGAACCGGACAATAGGCTCGAGGTATCGGTACTCTCTCACTTGCTAATTTTGCTTGAAGCCCCACACCTCGGAACCATACAGTAGAATTGGTTGTAGTTGCGTATCAATATACCTTTTAAAATACCGTAGTCGAAACAATATCTATTTTTCTTAAAGTAACTATTAGTTCAAGGAGTGATCTTTTCCCCCTACTTGGTAGGTCTGATAAATTATTGTTGAAATTTCATGAACAACTTAAGAGTAAACCAATAAAATATCTTTTTTCGAAAGAGGTCCAGTCTAAATACCACAATTTTAGTTTTATCCTAGTAGTTCCATTTATTGCGTCTGCAACCCATTGGCGCTGTCTGATACTATTATACTAGTAACAATATTTCTTATAAATCAGGACATAACTGAATATCATGTATCCCATTAGAAACAACTTCTAACATTTACGTTTCCTCTTAGACATGATTTAACACATTTATAAGTACTTCTTAGAGCATTCAGCATTTTACCATTCAGAGCATACGATTTCAAAAGACACCATAACTTATCCGGATTTATTCAGCCAAACGTTTTCTTAAAATCTACAAAATCCACATAAAGTTTGCATTTCTTATTGCTTAAACATTTCTATAACATAGCATATAATGTGAATATGTGGTCCATAGATGAATAAACCTGTCTTAATCCGGCTTGAGTTTCTGATATTTTATTCCTTATGTTTAACCAGTGTTAGTAAAGTCGTGTAGACGCTGAGAAGTGATCATGAGATACCAAGGTAGTTATTTCGTCTCCTTTTTGCGAATAGGGATAATTACCGCTCCAGTCCATCGGGAAAAACGTCAGACTCAAATATGTTATTTAATAATGTCTTTAAGAAAGGCATTGTCAAATTTCCGGGGACTTTTAACATTTCAATTATAATTTGTTTTTACCTGCGTCTTTGCCATCTTTTAAATGACAGATTGTATTGTATATTTCGACGAGGATAATGTAAATACTCCTTACCTGTGCTTTAGATATCGACGTAAACAGCACGATGCTTTAGGTCGCCTGTTCGAAGGTTCCGGGTAACTGTGATTTATATAGTGCTGTGTCACGTATGCCGTGACACTCCGTTCCCTGCAGTGCATCCTGTTTGCACAGTTGATGCACTTATGTGCATATATCAAAGAATGTGTGCATGACATATGATCAATACATAAATGCAGCGGCAAGCCAGCAAAGAGTGACTGCTAAAACCGCTTCAATCATAATATACGTTAAAGACAGAATAATTATGTGATAATGATTATCATGACATTGACTAACCGCCTATATTTCGCCATATGTTTTCCGTTCTAATGGGTATGGGGGTCAAAGGTCTCGTCTAAAACGGGGAGTGAAATTATCCAGTTATTTCACTGAAATTGTTTGAACAAACAAATTTCAATTTGAGAAGAAAATGAATAGAAATAAAATAAGAAAGTCACTGGGGGTCTATCTTCCAGTTTAACAATTTAAAATTTCACTGGAATAGAAGCACTTTTGTCCCATACGTCTTAAAAAACGACATATTGGGTTTGGGTATCATGGTATATGGGCCGTTAGTGTAACAATGTATATCCAATGTATTGTTCACAATATCGTCCATTAGTGTAACAATGTATATCCAATGTATTGTTCCCAATATCGGCCATTAGTGTAACAATGTATATCCAATGCATTGTTCACAATATTGGCCTTTAGTGTAACAATGCATTTCTAATGTATTGTTCACAATATCGACCATTAGCGTAGCCATGCATATTCAATGTATTGTTCACAATAACGGCCGTAAGTGTAACAATGTCTATCAAATGCAGTGTTCACAATATCGGCCATAAGTGTAACAGTGTATACCCAATGTATTGTTCACAATATCGGCCATAAGTGTAACAGTGTATATCCAATGTTTTGTTCCCAATATCGGCCATTAGTGTAACAATGTACATCCAATGTTTTGTTCACAATATCTATCATTAGTGTAAGATTATATATACGGTGTAGTGCAATTTATCAACCTGTACTAAGTATTATTCTTACTATGATCCCAAGACCATTGTTGAATAAAGATACGACAATATCCGGTCGTATCGTTCGGACTGGAATGAGTTTTGCCCCATGTGAAGCCACGGAAGGGTAGCAAGTCAAGACCGAAATGACGTATATATGGAATCTGGGAGTTCCCAGGAAGTGATGTCATAGGACTTCTGCCTCCGGTTTTGTTAGAACTGTGGGACAAAATGGCGGTCTTGGTATGGCAAAAATCTCGCGAAAGAAGTGACGTCATGATCTTTTGGTCAGATTTGGCATAGGAAAAAATGGCGGACATAGTATCCTGAATGTTTCGCGAAATAGTAGATCGAGATAGATGACGAACAACATTAACGAACACATTGATCATTGCGTATAAATAAATAAACGAATTAATGTATTTTGTTCTGTGTTTATTGACGTGTTTACTGAATCCTAGGCAAGTATATAGAGAATGTCTTTGGAGAATTAATCAAACGAAATGGGTATTTTTTCATAATTACATGATAAATACATCACATTCAGGAGAAACAACAGAAATCATCATGTTTTCAAGTTTTCTTTCGTTTTATTTGGATGATCCTTATAAGGACCGTTGAATTGAAACGTTTACAGGAGTAATACGTTTCTGAATACCATCTTCATAGAAAAGCTGTTACAAGAGAATCGTCTATACTCTGTGATAGGACTATCCATACTTTTCCTACGATACAATTTAACACCGCAATGAAACCAATGTATCCTATCGTTAGGTCCGGTGTAGAAGAATCCCCCTATTGCCATCTGTTTCATCTGTATGGGCCATCGAATAAAAGGTAGGTATTGGTAGGTATATCCAACATGTCAGTGTCGATATATATACATATATTGCTATCACAAGAATCAAACATAATTTGTATCCGCATTCGACATCCTTTCAGAGTTACAGTCACACTTCGAATGAAGAGTTTAGCCAAGGGTTGTCAGTAGAATACGTCAACTACGTTTAAACCAATCAATGAGCAGTACTACTGACGGATTACTGTGTCGTGTAAAATTGATTTCTAACAGAAACAGGAAAACAATAGAGCTATATGTCCAACGATGAAAAATTCGGACCTGAACACAGAAACTTCTCCACCACTGCGTACATACACCATTTGATATATTGATCCTGATGCATTGGCCATTGTAACCATTGAGACACTGTATAGTGTAGCTTCTCTGAGGTCTCTATCCATGTTGTGGTATGTTGACAATAGTTTGAGGCTCCAGATAATCTCTCTTAAATACAAGCATACACGACATAGAGTTGTTTCCCCTAGAAATGGATCTACGTTGTTTTGTCCAATGAGTATGTAACGGAAAGCAGCAAATCCTCTTCTACGAATATTTACATCACTTTAGCAGTAGGACAGTGTAACCTCAGACATGTAAAATATGGCATTTGAAGAAACTTTTTCTCAGTACGTTTTGACCTTTTTGTTTCTTGTCATGTCAATTAGGGTCGGATGACACCCGGAACATCGATGTAGGCCTCGACAAGTACTGTTTGTGTTGGTAACAATAAAAATTGAAAACCACCTCTTGCAATCAAGATATCGAATGCCTTCCTTCTAACCTTTACAACAATAGCCAGGACGCCGACATTGATGACGTCTAAATTCCCTGGTACATCGGTGGTCTTCCGTATCATTTAAACCCACATCGCAAGCTTAACAATATTCACTGTACCCTGAAAACCTGACAGGGATGTAATGACATCATTGTGTCTGTTATGGTGGTAAATGTGAATGATCTGAGATAGGTTTTTCACTTGTGCAAAAGCTTATTCCAAATTTCTTGAGAATGTACGTCCAGCTGCTATTTAAGTTCCAGATAGACACCGAGAACACTCCAAGTATCAACTCTGTAAAATGGAGCAGGTCTTTTAACATAATAAAGAGCAGCAACTAATGCTCGGACAAAAGCATAAATCATACTGGTTCGTGATTCTATCTGTCCACTGTTTCTGTTGTAAGAACGAATTCAGTTTCTGGGGACTCTGTTTTGAATGGTAGCCACGTCCGACACCAAGGCAATCCGCGTCCTCTACATGGAGAAAGTCAATATCCATGGCTGCATCAATACTGCTTTGGTATATTATTCTACCACAGTCATGGTGTCCTCTTCATGCAAAGGACCCGCGTGACGAATAGGCACATCTAATCCTGGACTGTGTAAGGCAAGACGTATCCTGTAATTATCTTGTCTGTTGAGCGCTTTGCAATAAAGTGGGACAGATCCCACCTCCCACAGCATATTTTGCTGAGCGATCTGTAACCATGGATGAATCTCGGGTTCTCTATCTGACAGTGTAAGTCAAAGACAAAGCATCAGAAACGTTTACTGAGAAGGCACAATCTCTTCCATCAGCTGGTTATCCTACTGATGGACTACCTCTCGAAAGGTCAGACCATCAACGGCCAATATCCTGTTAATCTGCTGAAGCATCTCCGTCACAACAGCAAGGCTAAACGTCGTGTAATACTCACTGGCGTTGTGCAGTTCCATCAGGACAAGGCACCTTTGCATAAGGCGATTGTCATGTCTGAAATGCTTGACTGAGGTTTTAAACTGATTGAACCCCGTATTCACCATATTTGGCAACGTTCGATTTCCTCCTGTTCGCACACTTGAAGAAAGAACTGTATGGCAAGCATTATCCAAATGATGATCTCATATCTGCTGTAGAGGACACTTTACAGCACCAGGAGGAAGCCTTCTACCCCAGTAGGATCCAGGCATTCCAAGATCGTTGGCAGTAGTGTGTGAACCTCTGAGGGGATTATGTTGAAAAATAATTAGCAACCAACTCTATCAACCCAGTCCGTCATAGTTAGGCTCAGAATTGTCCAGCCCCACCTCGTATGTTAAATTAAACACGTTTTAATACAGTTAACACATCGCAAGTATCGTCTGGTATGGGACGAGTGATAGGGCCCGGCTTGAGGGCGCCACAATGAAAATAGAAAAGGTTGCATGGCCTGCTCTGTCTGTCTGGATTAGAGCGGGGGAGGATTGTTAGACAGCTGCTAGTAGTCTGTTGGGTTCCCGTGTTCAGAGCAGTTGTCGGGGTAACAAAGAATGTCTGAAAGTCTTAGCATGGTGTAAACAGGCAGTGTGCCATTCAATAACAACTACAGTTACGCAGTGTCATATGAATGTTATAATAATTCAGTATATTATTTACAATTCGCTTTCGTTAGCTTGGATGTCTAAAAGTGCTTTAGTTGTAAATGCATCTTCAGTATTAAGCGCATTATCAGTAAGCACATTTTCCATTTCAGATCATTGTGAAAATAAGCTCTGAATTGGTTTGTTTGTTTGGATGGATGGTTGTTGTTTAATGCCGCAATATTCCAACTATATGATGTCTGTAAATGATCTGGAGAGACAATCCAGTGACTGACATCATGATCATCGATCTACGCAATTGGGATACGATGACATACATCAACCAAGTCAGCGAGCCTGACCATTCGATGCCTTTATATTAGTTGCCTCTTGCGACAAATGTGGGTTGCTGAAGACCAATCCTACCCCGGATCTTCACGGGTATATTGGAAATATAGATTGTGATGGTAATATTTTAAAAGATCTAGCTTTCGGTGGTGTTGATTTCCATAAGCGCCTTAGACACACTCGTAACGTGAAAAATCTCATATTGTTTTGATAGATCAGAAATTCAGTAAATGAACACTTTCAGTGAAAAATCTCATATTGTTTTGATAGATCAGAAATTCAGTAAATGAACACTTTCAGTGAAAAATCTCATATTGTTTTGATAGATCAGAAATTCAGTAAATGAACACTTTCAGCAGTTTCATCTCTATCAGTAAACACACTTGCAAATTTAGATCAGAAAAAGGTACCCATTCACCTCACCTAATCAACCGATGTACATGTTCCGGTAATATCTCTTTAACCCCTCCCCAGTTGAGATCCTGTCTGCAAATATCTCTTATGTCGTAAAACATCTCAAGTGTAGGGGCTAATAAAAACCTTAAACTTAATATAGAAAGTTATTGCTCTTTAAAATAGCATGGCATGAGTGCAATAAAAACAATAAAACCTAACTCTGC